CTAGAGGATCAGCCCCACCCATATGGGCTCATGCACCAATTGAGGTCATCTACCGGTAGTACTGCCTTTCTGAAGATTCTAACAGCCATAGCCATCTGATATGTTAGATCCTTTCAGGTTGTTGTCCCTATACTTGGAACTCCCTTCTTGTTATGTGCCGTCAAATTACAACCCTACTAAGGTTTTCAAGGTGAGTAATTTAAGGACTGGTTTTACCGGTTCTATCCCACAGTGAGTTTCCATAGCAAAGCTGGGGAATCAAACCCTTATCTCCTGAGTTCTAATTGATTACTCCATCCACCACACTACACTGGGTACCCTTCATTTCTTGAGTCCCTGTGATATATGCATCTTTTCAGCGTTTCAGGAAGATATATATGGCAGAATCGTTCTGGCAATTCACTTAAATGCTGCTATTTTCATTTTATCTCTCACCACTTGCTCTAGTGAAAATATACTCCAAAAATAGATATCTTATCTTCCCTTTCACTTTGCAGGTAGAAAAATGAAAGTTTCTATCATCCTATCTACAACAAACTCCTTTATTTTACAACACTTTCTAAAAGACATGGAGAGCTTCTGACTTCTAAATTGTCCCAGCAAGCCCGAAGACTACGTAATACTGAATACCTTCTTCTCTACAGCCGTTGTAACACGCATCTGTTGGCTTTACAAATGAATAAATCATGGGAAAACCTATATCCAATCATTCCTTACTGAAATTTTTCAGGTATCCCATAAAAACCAGAATCTCAAGGATAGCGGGAACAACCATTTAACAAGATTTGAACAATATTCTAAGGCAGTGTTAATCATATCAACAGCTTCCCTGATTAGGTGCAAATACATATTACATCAAATATACTGGCAGCTGCCTAATACTGAATGACAGCTAAATTATAATAGTCCACCAGATTTTGACATTCCCTTGCCACTGCAACAGTGTAAACAGCCATTAGCAGGAGAAAATATATTTAAACATACTGTTTCGTGTTTGCCAAGAAATTAGGGTAATATAAAGAAATATTGTGACTGTACATTTTTCTAACAGTCCCCCCAAAAGGGTTACTTTTATAGCTACCACATTTAAAGGGACATTCTTTCATCAGATTACAGCCAAGAGAAACATGGATATGTTTCCTTCTTTCAAGGCTGTATTTACAAAACCTAAGCTGTTAACACAAAAAGCAGTATGTTGCACATTCCACGCAGCTATCTGAATACCCAGTTAATGTACCGTATGGGTCTCTAGGGAAAGTGACTTTGTTCAACTTTGTCTCAGATTATAAGTGTCAATATACTGAAACTGTATGCAATGTCCCTTAAAGTTGCTGGATCGCTACATTCCCCCCCCCAAGTCAAAACTCAGGAGGCGGCTGCAGTTGTGGTGCTGGCGCTTCGACAGGCGGTGGGCCAAGATCTGGAGCAGCTGGTGCTGGCGGCAGATAGGGGGTGGGGTCTCGAGGCACCTGCATGATCAGGATTCCCCCTTCTGCCACCACTTCTGCCACCGCCACGTCTGGTTCTGCTGTTGTGGCACGCCAACCTTTTTTTCCCCAGTTTGGGCACTCGGACCCAGAAAGATTTGCCTTTTCAGCCTATTTATATGTGGAAGCCATTATTAAATATGGTTTTAAGGGAGAGTAACCAGATTAAGAAAAAAATGTTCGAAGGGACTTTCAGCAACTATTGTTAGGCAATTATTGGAAAGTATTCAAATGGTAATATTTTAATAAACTCATTTGCATCCATACTTCCCATGCTTCCTTCTAAACAGCTTACTAAAGAATGAGAGATAGATGCATTAAACCATCAAACTATTACCTTAAACATAACAGTAGATAGTGTAGTCCTGACTGCGTTAATCACACTTTACCATAAAGTGGTAGAGAAAAAGGGAAAGAGAAAAAGGAAAAACCTGTGTATCATTATCTGTCCAGAGGAGCATAACAGGCAAGTGCACACAGGACTGTAGGCTCAACAAGCCAGAACAGAAAGAGGTTTTAAATTTTATCAAAATTTAAATGATAGCACTATGCTATACTTGGTTTACATCATTTATGTCTCTCTCTGCCTTACTTTTTTCCACCTTATCTGAACAGTTCTAAAACATGTAGTGACAGCTCTGCAAGATAAAATAGCAACTCAGGTACTAAACAGTAATAATTACCTCTAAACAGTACAAGTTTGAGACTAGAAGCAAAACACTCTACAATTCCGCACTGTGTAACACCAAAGCATCTCCGTCTCTTTGACTTCATAGTTCTGACTGCCAGATATACTTTTTTGAAAAAGTGACTTCACAAAAATCAGATTGTACTGTATAAGTAAAAGGTGAGAAAATAATTGCTATTCTAAAAGAAGGTTAGTATATAGATTAGTAATACAGATACTAAAACTTCTGTACAGTATTAACAGCACTGCTTTTACACCTTGCACTCCAAATACATTCAAATTGTTACCCCATTAATTCTTCTGCACTTCTTTCTCCCAAATAAAACGTAACTGCACATCAACAGCTTCTGGGTCCTCAATGTTTAGACTGTCAGTCACGAATTCTTCTGCTTTGCTATCAAAAATAATACTTCCCTGCACGCCCACTGAACTGGTTCTCTTCCCCCCCCCCCTATTCAACAGACTCAATCAAAGGCAGACTTTCATTCTCAACAAACCACTGTGCTGGGACTATATAAGCGAAATATGCATACAATCACCATGTGCTGAGCCAATGAGCCCAGGGTCAATTGGGAATGGATGGAAATAGGTACTCTCACAAAATAAAAGCAAACTTTTGTCTCCTCCAATGTTGCGTGACTTGAGATTTGTCCCCAGCCAGAGATCAGGAGAAAAATACCGATTCCCTAGCTTCTATTGATATTCTAGAATCTGTTTGATTTATTAGATAAAGGATATAACAATGTCTACTTGGCACTGCTCAAATAGAACTTCATGAAAGGAACTCAAGACTCAATTTTCAGATACTTAAACCATTTCTATTTTACAACTAGATAATTGCAATGAATACCAAAGATTATCATTTTTACTTCTATTAGAAAAGTAACAAAATGCAGTCCGAAGCATTTACCTTTGCAAATCAACTTCCTCCCCTTCAGAAGAATTCGTTATGCATTCATTCTCAGAAATGAACTAAAGCCCATACTCTAGAAGTATGCAAATATATCACCAGCAATACGGAGATTTTTTTAAAGGTCTACTTTATTTTAAAATTTGAATTAAGATTCTTAATCTGTAATGTTTGGCATAAAAAAATTCAAATGGAATATCTGTATTTTTGCAATTCTTATTTCATGTATGTTTCTACAGAGTTTCCATACAGGTACCCATTATTTTTCTGTTAGCTTCACAACCAATAGTAACAACAAAAAAGTCTGTACACTGTCTTGGATCCCCACTAGGGGAGAAATGCAGACTAAAAATTGAATATATAGACACATACATACACAGACATAACAACAGAAACAAAACCACCCAGCAAATTCTGATGCAAGTTCAACCAAACATACATGCAGGATCAGATCACCAACTGCCACATTGGGAGCATAGCATACTGTTGTACAGTTACTAAAACATGAAGCAAACTGTGTATATAAATGTTCATAAGGATGAATCAAATGTATAATGAACCACACCATATTATGCAGAACATAAGAACATATGCTTTGGGCACAAATGCACAATTAAGATAATGAATTAAGATTAAATACTCTCATATACACCATACTTTACAGTAGAAATGTAACCAAGGCAATAGTTTTTAATTTATTACACTACACCAAAAACTTTTTTCACATCCTTAATAATTAATAGCAAATTAATATAAAGATCATTTCCCCCTTTTGGATGTTGCCCATGCTGATACACAATGAGCAAAGTTTAACATTTATGTTTATACTGCCTGCACAAACAAGAACTTGGACCAAAATTCAATCAGTTTATTTTATCAATAAATGCATACAATGGAACTCTGACAGAACCTCATACAGAGAAAAAGAACAGGGTGTAGGGGACTGATTTCTAAAAGCCTCATGGTGCAGTAGTTAAACTGCAGTAATGCAACCAAGACTCTGCTCACGACATGAATTCAATCCCAAAGGGCTCAGGTAGCCAGGTCAAGACTGACTCAGCCTTCCATCCTTCTGAGGTTGGTAAACTGAGTATCCAGCTCACAGGGGATAGGGGTGGGGGAGCAATGTATACCCTGCATAATCAAATCACCTATAAACCACCTGGAGAGTACTTTAAGCACTATGGGGCAGTATATCAGCAGCACACTTTTTATTTATTTTTATTTATTAGCTTTTTGTAAAAAATTGAGATGAGTCAGGTAAATGGGGCATACTTAATTCTGCATCAAAATGGAACTTTCATATAAAAGAAGCTGCTACGGTTAAAAAATTGGTAAGGCAGGTGTTTTCTGCTGGGTTGGGGAATATGTAGTCCTCCAGGTGAGTGGTTCTTAACCTTTTTGAAAGAAACACCCCCTTGAGCCATTGAGGAAGTTATCACTGCCCCCCTCGGCATGGCGGCAGCATCGGATCCGCTGCCAGCACCAGCTGCTCTGGATCCACCTGCTGGATCCGCTGCCAGCACCGTGGCTGCAGCTGCCTTCTCAAGTTTGGCTTGCCCCATCGCCCCCATATCGCCCCTTTCTGTTCCTTCACCCCCGTGTTGCCCCTTTTTGTTCCATCGCCCCCCTTAAAAACAAAATCACTCCCTGGGGGCAATATCACCCAGGTTAAGAACCACTGCTCCATTCTGAATTGGACCATTCAGCATCCCTCACCCCCACTATATTAGCTAGGGCTGATGAAAGTTGCTGTCCGTCAACATATGAAGGGTCACACATTCCATGCTCCCATTTGTTGTTTCAATTTATGATTTCAGATCATCTCCACTGGGAATGGCTTGTTCTGTTTCAAAACTATTGTACTACATAGTAAAACAAACTGAAATCATTAAGAAGTATCCTACACACTTACCTCCCACTCCTTAGCTGTTGCTTCATTTATTGAATCCTCATCAGCTTCAGATTCAAGTTTTTTTACTACAATAAATCCAAGCTCTCTATTTGTTTCTCCAGTTTCTTCTGCAAATATTTGTGGACTCCACTGAACAAAAAAGGAATACAGATGCTCAGTCCTTTAAAGGGGAAAAAAGAAAATTAATTAGTTACCTTTCAGACTTATGAAAACCTAGTTTACTGTGTTCCCCATGTATTAACTGCTTAATCTTTTCACTATCCTGGATTCATTTTTTAAAAATAAAGAAACTTATTACTGTTTTTCTAAACTGATCACATTTCCTTAAAATATCATATTATCTTCTCCATCTTTTTCTCACTCATCTCTGAACGAAAGTGTCAAGATATATGTATGAACGGATCATAAAAGACTAATACAATAGAAAGGAGTTGCAGAAGCACTTCTCATCTTCATTTGCCTTTTTCAGGTTAAGACTTATTTAAATTGTATTTCTTGGGCATTGGTCACAATGTTCTTATTTGAAAAAATACAAGCTTGCATTCTGGGTGTCAACTCAGTGTTGAGCATGTTCTGTGTTTTGTTTTAGTTCCTAGATTCTCCCTGCTACTAATTTAATTACAGAGGCTTTTCCTAGCTCAGGCTCCTTGAGAAACACCCCTTCTTTTCTCTTCTTCCTTCATCAGCCACTTTCATCTCTCCTTCATCTCTCTTCTATTTTCTGCTTCTCCGATGAAGGTATGTAAGTAGAGATGCCACTTCAAACTACTGTACGTAAAAGGAAACAGGACATCTATCATAATGAAAAAAAGGTTCCTTGAACCAAGAATCACGGTGTTATTGTTGTCACATGTCATCAAATTGCTTCCTGCTTATGGTGCCCCTATGAATGAATAACCACTAAAATATTCCGTTCTCAACAACCCTGTTCATCTCTTGTAAACTCAAGGCTGTGATGGTTGTTGTGGGTTTTTAGGGCTCTTTGGCCGTGTTCTGAAGGTTGTTCTTCCTGACATTTCACCAGCCTCTTTTTTGTTATGAACAGACAGATGGAGTGGCCATGGGGAGCCCCCTCAGCCCAGTTATAGCAAACTTCTACATGGAACATTTTGAAAAACAGGCCCAGGCTTCGGCACCCTTCACACCCAGTCTGGTTCCAATGACACCTTCACAGTTTGGAACCACGGTGAAGAAAAACTGGAAGAATTTCTAAACCATCTAAACAGCATTCACCCAAATATACAATTAATCATGGAAAAAGAAATAGAGGGCCAACTCTTAGATGTCATGGTCATACGCAAAACTGACCTCATATTGGGACACAAGATCTACAGAAAACCCACCCACACAGACCGGTACCTACACAAAAACTCCAACCACCACCCATGACAAAAAAGAGGCATAATCAAAACACTGGTAGACCGTACAAATTGGAACTGTGAAGCTCAATTTCTTAGCACCGAATTGGGCCCTATAGGTGAATGGCTATTCCAAGAATGAAATCACAAGAGCCATCAAACCAAGAAAACAACACTAAACTGAAGAGGAGAAACAGCTACCCACAAATAAAGTATTTCTACCATACATCAAAGGGGTCACGGGCTGCATGGGGAAACTTTTGAAAAAAAGCACAACCTACAAAAAGTATTCTATTAGCTTTTGCCCTACTTCATTTTTAACTCAACTCCAAGGCCAAATTCACCTATTGTTCCTTTTATCTCTTGATTCCCTACTTCAGCATTCCAATCCCCTATAATGACAAGAACATCTTTCTTTGGT